CCAAGGCAGGTGGATCACTTGAGTCCAGGAGTTCAAGACCAGCCTGGCCAATATGGTGAAACTCCGTCTTTACTAAAACTACAGAAATTAGCCAGGTTTGGTGGCATGTGCCTGTGGTCCCAACTGATCAGGAGGCTGAGGTTGGAGAAGCACTTGAACCTGGGAGCCAGAGGTTGCAGTGAGCCGAGATCGTACCTCTGCACTACTCTAGCCTGGAGACAGAACGAGACTCTGTCTCAAAAGAAACAAACAAACAAACAAAACCCCCAAAAAACCAATCTCAATAGCAGATAAAGACTACTCCATTGTTTCTTGGAATAGAGGTATCTGTTTACTCTGGGGGGATGGACATGCCTCTTATGTGTGTGTGTAATACATATTAGCAATAGGGAACATTATTTTGACATACTTAACTTGAAGAAAGGGATGCTTAGACAGTGACAACCCAATATTGAATAATGCTCAATACTGAAGTTACTTTATAAAGATAACATTGTTGTATTAGTAGAGATGGTACAGTATATTCTCAGTAAAGACCTCAGTCTTTAGTCAGTTCTCATGCTCCTTGGTGTCTTAGCATTTGACATACTAGATTTACCATGTACTAGAGACCCTGAGCTTTGGTTTTTGTATCACAACATTGTCCTACTTCTCTATTGTTCATCCATTCTTTTGTTTAAAAAATGGCCAGACTGTGTTGCTGAACAAGACAGACATAGCCCCTGCCCCTTGGAGCCTGTGAGCATCCTTTCTTCCTCTCTTCCTGTAGCCTCTTTCATGATTTCCCTATAGATATTAGTCCTTAGCTGATTGCTTTGTCTCTTTTAGTCTTGATTTGCCTTCTATGAGAACTGTTTCATTTTCCTAGCTTAAGTTGCAAATTCTAATGCCAGCAACTTATACATCTTTCTCTACATCTCATCTTTACCCTGAATTTTATTCACTTAGCCATTTAATAAATTTTTGTTCAGATCTAACTGTGTTCCTGTTACAAAGGATACAAAAATGATAAAGGTAGCCTTTGCCCTCAGAGTTGCTGACACACACATAAAAAACAAGTTAAAGTACAGTGTGATAGACATATGTACATGGTGCCATAGGACATAAGAAGGGGGTGCCTGGCTTGGACTTGAAAGAGAAATGAGAGAACAACTATCCCCAGTAGAAGACTGAGCATTTCAAATCCCTATGAAACCTAGGGTTTTGAAAGCATAGTATGTTTTGGCAACAGCAAGTGGTGCAGTGTGATTGGAACCTTTAAAAGACAGTGGAAGATGAGGCTGAGCATTTAGGGAAATTTTACCAGGTTGCCCCAAAGGTAATATTCTCAATATTAAACTAATATTCTCCCACCATAAATGAGCTCCCCCAGCAACTTCTCATTTCTGTCAATGGAACTTTCATTCTTTATACATCCAAACCCTGAAGTGCCAAATTCAGGTCAGTCCTCAAGTTTTGTATCATTTCTGTATTCAAAACATTCTTCTGTGCATCCTATACTATTTCCACTATCTACACACTACTTACCACCTAATTGGTAGTTTACTTCAAAACTGTAAATAATTGCCTTTCTTCTTGCTCTTTCACTTTTTGGTTTTTTCCTGGAAGTTAATTTCTAAAATCCCTCATTTTACCATGTTACTGACCCTGAGCAAAAGAGGACAGTGATATTTTATTTCCTACAAGCTTACATCCTTTCCAAGTGTTTTAAACCCATAATCCTTTTTCTTTCTTTAGAGTTGGCAGTCTTGCTTTGTCACCCATGTTGGAATACAGTGGCATAATCATGGCTCATTGTAGCTTCGAATTATCAGGCTCAATTGATCCTTCTGCCTCAGCTTCTTAATTATCTGGGGCTATAGGTGTGTACCACTATGCCCAGCTAATTTTTTTTTTTTTTTGAGATGGAGTCTTGCTCTGTTGCCCAGGCTGGAATGCAGCGGTGTAATCTTGGCTCACTGCAGCCTCTGCCTCCTGGGTTCAAGTGATTCTTCTGCCTTAGCCTCCTGAATAGCTGGAACTGCAGTTGCGTGCCACCATGCCTGGCTAATTTTTTGTATCTTTAGTAGAGACAGGGTTTCACTGTGTTAGCCAGGATGGTCCTGATCTCCTGACCTTATGATGTGCCTGCCTCAGCCTCCCAAAGTGCTGGGATTACAGCCTTGAGCCACCACGCCTGGCCACCCAGCTAATTTTTAAAAATATTTTTTAGAGACAAGGTCTTGCTGTGTTGTCCAGAATGGTCTTGAACTTCTGGCCTCGAACTTGTGGCCTCAAATGATCCTCCTGCCTTGGCCTCTTGAGTCACTGGGATTACAAGTATTAGTCACCATGCCTAGCTCCCATAATCTTTTAATAAACACAAAAGTCTGAAGCACTGTTATTCCCATTAAAAACCACAGAATTGCAGATTTCAGAGATAATCTATAGCAAATAATAGATTCCATTAACTTTCAGCTTTTTCTTCTTTTTTTTTTTTTTGAGACACGATCTTGCTCTGTTATCAGGCTGGGGTGCAGTGGTATGACATGGCTTAACTGAAGCCTTGAAGCCTTTACCTGTTGGGCTCAAGAGTTCCTCCTGCTTCAGCCTCCTGAGTAGCTGGGACTACAGGCACATGCCACCATGCCCAGACAATTAAAAAATTTTTTCTTATAGATGAGTCTCAATATGTTGTCTAGCCTGGTCTTGAACTCCTGAACTCAAGGGGTCCTCCTGCCTCAGCCTTTCAGCATGCTGGGATTATAGGTCTGGCCCACCGTACTCAGCCTACTTTGAGTTTTTATCATGAACATGACATTTATTATACCGAGTGAGGTTTTTAAAGGACAGGTTCCCCTTCTCCCAATCATATCTTCTTTGCTACAATTCTAACCTGTTAACCTAGCCAGATCAATTGTCTCCATGGGAAGTCGTATATTCCCTGACTCTAGAAAGAGATAGCTTGTGTTGGAATCCTGGTTCCACCACTTTCTAGTTTCAGCAATGTTCCTCATTTCTCTAAGCTTTAACAACATTGTATGAAAAAAGCGAGTAGTGATAATAAGTACCTCACAGTGTTGACGTAAGGATTGAGTTAATCTATGTAGCCTAGCTCCCAGCATGTGCAAGCATGCAATACATGTTGGCTACAAAATGTATGTACCTTGAAAACGTCTTGCTCATTTCCTTTGTGCTCTTGTTGATGCTTCCCTGCCTCTCTCTGCTGCGCTAAGTGGTCTCACTGTGCTCCTCCCTGTTGCCTGTGTTTTACTTGTCATTTCAAGTTCAATTCAGTTACCTCTTCTTTAATAGTCATTTCTAACTCCTTCAGTTTGTGTTGACCTCTGAAGTCCTATAGGTACTTCTATGCCATTTTAGTAATTATATTTCTATTTTTATGGCATATTTCTGCCTTTTATGGTATTCCTTCTTAACTTTATATGCAATAAAAGAGTTGTGGAATTACTATCTCAGTCAGGATACAGAACAGTTTCATCATTTCCCCCAAAAAATCTACCTTGGGATTTCTTTTTAAACAATTTACTGGGTATACATTCTTTTTCTACATACACAGTTTAGGTTCTTGAATTTTAGTATTTGTTTTATACTAATTTGTCTTCCCTAAGTATGGCTTAGTATTGTGGATGTAGTGAGTTAGTAGATTCTTGAATGTTTGCATTGTATAAAACAAAGCCTAAAAACATGGTAAATTCGAACATCTTAAGAAGCCACTAATTTAAATGATTTAACTTTGGTCTTTCAGGGTCATTTTGTTTAGGTGCAGAATTTCAGCTGAAAATTATTTCTGTATAACTTGTGAAAAGTGGTTTTAGAGCCTTGCCAGGGCTAATAAAACACAGTGTTTGTCTTTAGAAAACAAAAAGCTTTCTATTTTTATTACTGAATATATACTTACAGTTTCTATAGTTTTCTTTCTTTCTTTTTTTTTTTTTCCTGAGATGGAGTCTTGCTCTGTCGCCCAGGCTGGAGTGCAGTGGTGCAGTTTCAACTCACTGCAATGTCTACTTCCCAAGTTCAAATGATTCTCTTGCTTCAGCCTCCCCAGTAGTTGGGACTACAGGAGTGCACCACCACACCTGGCTAATTTTTGTATATTTAGTAGAGATGGGGTTTCACCATATTGGCCAGGCTGGTCTTGAACTCCTGACGTCAGGTGATCTGCCTGCCTTGGCCTCCCAAAGTGCAGGGATTACAGGCATGAGCCACTGTGCCTGGTTGGTTTCTATTGTTTTCTAACCCTATTAGTTTAAATTCTAATGTAGAAAAAAATTTAAAAATTCCAGTGTGAAGCAAATTTTATGTGTTTCTTCTCCTGGATTACATTTGGCTGTTATGATATTAATTGCTGAATTTATTTATGGAATTTTGCCTTTTTTCTTAAGCACAGTTGAATATTAAGCAATTCAGTTAAAAATGAATTGGGCTGAGTGTGGTGGCTTACGCCTGTAATCCCAGCACTTTGGGAAGCCGAGGTGGGCAGATCACAAGGTCAGGAGATCAAGACCATTCTGGCTAACGTGGTGAAACCCTGTCACTAATTAAAAAACAAAAACAAAAACAAAAAGTTAGCTGGGTGTGATGGCACATGCCTGTAGTTCCAGCTACTTGGGAGGCTGAGGCAGGAGAATTGCTTGAACCCGGGAGGCAGAGGTTGTAGTGAGCTGGGATTGTGCCGCTGTACTCCAGCCTTGGTCACAGAGCAAGACTCTGTCTCAAAAAAAAAAATAAAAAAGAATGTGGAAGTCTGTTTTGTTGATTATTTTTAAATCGGAGGTCAGTACAAGTAAGAGGATTTATACTTGGAAAAAGGTGGGGCTGATATGGACAAGCAAATGATGCTGCATGATTTCCTTAATCTTTGCTCTTGGGTATAATGGAGATCCATCTCCAGAGAGGGCAAAATATGGTTAGCATTTGCATCCCATTCAGTAGACTTTACTTCGTAATGAAGTGAATTGAATTTAATCATATGTGTCTTTTTTTCCCTTCCCCAACAGCTTCCATGCCTATGGCTGTTCTAAAATTGGGCCAAATATATCCATTTCAGAGAGGCTTTTTCTGTAAAGACAACAGCATCAACTATCCGTACCATGACAGTACCGTCACATCCACTGTCCTCATCCTAGTGGGGGTTGGCTTGCCCATTTCCTCTGTAAGTAAATTAATAAGTAGGTAGTGATGGGTTTGTTGTGCTGGAGGTTGGATGAAGTGATGGAGCTGGGATGGGGGTAAATCCATAGTACTGTCTTCGCCAATGTTGATATAGTGAATGATTGCTTGAGGAATATACCCACTGTTTTAGTCCAGGGACAGTGTTTCTCCAGTTAAAGGTGGATGTTACTCAGGACAACTTGATGCCATACTGAAGAATTATAGAATGATTGTTTTTGAATAGGGAGTCTTTTTCAGTCATTTGGACCAACTCATCTCAGTAAACAACTGAAGAAACTTAGGCCCAGACACTTGATAAAGCCCAGTAAGCTATTGTATGGCAGAGCCGAAACTAAGATTATGCTTGCTTTTTCATGCTATTAAGTGGAAACTGAGGCCATGGAAAAGGAAAACATTTGCATATTAAATTTGAGAAAACAAACTCAGCAGAAAGGCCACAAATATATATGCAAAATAAAATTATCGGAATACATTAAAATATGTCACTATTGGCTGGGCGTGGTGGTTTGTGCCTATAATCCCAGCACTTAGGGAGGCCAAGGCAGGAGAATTGTTTGAACCTGGGTGGTGGAGGTTGTGGTGAGCCAAGTTCGCACCATTGCACTCCAGCCTGGGCAACAAAACTCTGTCTCAAAAAAAAAAAAACCACCCAAAAAAACAAAGTCACTATTTCTTACTGTGTACTGTACTTCAGACAGTTTATCAGTTTGTAGGATACTATTGGGTTTCACTGTTTTAAGTAAAAACTTTCATTCTAGATTAAGATTCACAAACTAGGTTAAGATTGCCACTTGGGATATTGTGCCTACTTTCTTTAACCTTGGCTCACATTCCTAAATCTTGCCATTGTCATTTTATGTGACTTGGAAATAAAAGGGAAGGAGGAGGGTGAAGATTTCCCTCTTTGAGTGTCTTGGCAGTGTAGCATATCACACTTTATTTCTCCTCTGGCCACCTGTCTTTTGTCAGATGGCTTTCCTAGATACATGACTTACAAAACTATAGTCTTAGTAAACTCAGCAGCCTTGTTCTGCAGTAGGACTGGCTGGCTTTTCTCTCTCTATTTTGCCCCCAAATTGGCTAAGAATAATAACCTAGTTGTTTGTTTTTCCAGTTTATGTATCTGAGTTCATTTTTTTTGTCTGGTAGATTTTTTTCTAATGGTCTTCATCTCAGTATTTTGAAGGTGAAGGGATCCAGGATTTTTATTGTGTTCTAAGATATATAAGTATTAATGTAGTCTTACAATTCTAATTTGATTATAGCTACTTTTATGGGAGTAAAAGGATAGAAAAATCTAGCATTTAGTTTAAGGAGATACTTCTTTTTCTAAGAAATAAATCCCACCATAACTGGTAACTTAAATTTCAGCCATTCAGCTAATGAGAAATAGTGTGCAGGGAAGTACTGCCACTTAGATGACAATAGATGGTGTTACTGTACTTATATGAAGTACTAAGTAGTTGTGGTAACCATGATTTTGAGCAACCATTGCCAGATAAAGTTTTTTTTTTTTTAACTGCCCCTGTAGTTGAGGAGATAGTTGCTCAAAAGTGAATAAATTATTTTAATTGTAAACATGACATGTAATTTTTTTTTTTTGAGATAGAGTTTTGCTCTTGTTGCCCAGGCTAAAATGCAATGGTACAGTCTTGGCTCACTGCAACCTCTACCTTCTGGGTTCAAGTGATTCTCCTGCCTCAGCCTCCCAAGTAGCTGGGACTACAGGTGTGCGCTGCCACACCCAGCTAATTTTTGTGTAGAGATGGGGTTTCGCCATGTTGGCCAGGCTGGTCTTGAACTCCTGACCTTAAGGAATCCACCCACCTAAGCTTGGGTTCGAGCAATTCTCCCACCTCAGCCTCAAGTAGCTGGAATTACAGGTGCCTGTCGCCACGCCCAGCTAATTTTTGTATTTTTAGTGGCGATGGGGTTTTGCTATGTTGGCCACCTGGCAACATGCACTTGGCTCATAATCTTTTTATTAATTAAAAAAATTATTATAAAGTAGAAAGGGAAAATGAACAACCCTTAGTTCTATTAACTGAAGACAACTACTGGTAGCATTTTGATGTTTCCTTTAGTTTGACAGTTTTTTTGTTTGTTTTTTAGATGGAATCTTGCTCTGTTGCCCAGGCTGGAGTGCAGTGGCACATTCTCGACTCACTGCAACCTCCACCTCCCAGGTTTAATCAATTCTCCTGCCTCGACCTCCTGAGTAGTTGGGATTACAGGCACGTACCATCATGCCTGGCTAATTTCTGTATTTTTAGTAGAGACGGGGCTTCACCATGTTGGCCAGGCTGGTCTCACACTCCTGACCTCAGGTGATCCACCTGCCTTGGCCTCCCAAAGTTCTGGGATTATATGCGTGAACCACCATGCCCAACCTAGTTTGACAGTTTTTAAATCATTATGAGCACACCACAGGTTTAGTTTTCTGCCTTGTTTTTTTTTACTTATCTTTATAACAAATACTTTTGAGTTATAGTATTATAATATCAAGCAGCTTAAATAAAGAGCAATAGGGCTAAGTTTTTTTTTTTAAGGAGTGGAAAAAGACTTGGTATGAATCCTTGAGTTCTTGGGTATTAATTCCTGTGAGTTTGCTGTTAGAATTGACCTGGAAAAATATTTTAATGCCAATTATTTATTTATTTATTTTTTTTTTTTTTTTTGAGACAGAGTCTTGCCCTGTTGCCCAGGCTGAAGTGCAGTGGCATGATCTTGGCTCACTGCAACTGCAACCTCCACCTCCTGGGTTCAAGCGATTCTCTTGCCTCAGCCTTTAGAGTGGCTGGGACTATAGGCACACACCACCACGCTCAGCTAATTTTTTGTATTTTTTTTGTTTGTTTTTTGAGATGGAGTCTTGCTCTGTCACCAGGTTGGAGTGCAGTGGTGTGATCTTGGCTTACTGCAACCTCCACCTCTCGGGTTCAAGCGATTCTCCTGCCTCAGCCTCCCGAGTAGGACTACAGGTTTGTGCCGCCACACCCGGCTATTTTTTGTATTTTTAGTAGAGACAGAGTTTCACCATGTTGGCCAGGATGGTCTCGATCTCCTGACCTCACGATTCACCTGCCTCTGCCTCCCAAAGTTCTGAGATACAGGCTTGAGCCACTGTGCTTGGTCAGTTTTTTGTATTTTTATTGGAGGTGGGGTTTCACCATGTTGGTTAGGCTGATGTTGAACTCCTGACCTCAGGTGATCCACCCGCCTTGCCTCCCAGAGTGCTGGGATTATAGGCATAAGCCACCATGCCCGGCCTGATGCCAATTTATTTTTAATTAAAGAAGTAGTATTTGGCCAGTTTTGGGGCCTCAAATGTGCTTGAATGTGCAAGGAGGGATTCTTGCAAATTCTTAGGGTAGATTTGTTTTAATAGTTTGGTATAACATCTGTTGTTATACATAGAAAATAATTTCTATAAAGTGAATTATTTATGCTTAGTGTAACTAATATACATATGCTTTATAATTTGAACAGATTATTTGGGGTGATAGAAAATCTATATTTTAAAGTGGTGATTTATTTTTACAATGCAAGGTTCATAATCTTTTTAAAAAATATATTCTTGACTGTTTCTTCTTTAGCTGTCCAAAAAGGTACCACATTCAGAAAACTATAGATTTCTGCATTATTTGGCTTAACACTTTGTTTTTGTTTTTGGGTTTTAATGATTTATATTAGATTTCACACCAGACTTTTTTCCCATCATTTTTGGCTTTGTGTAGGTCTACCTTCTCCCTTGGTAATTCATTTATATTTACTTGTATAAATTCTTATATTTCTAGGAAAAGGTAAGATTTTTTGTATGCAAACTTTCAGAGTAACGATAGTGACAATAAAGTTAGTATTAAATCTCAAATCCATATGTGGCAATGAATAAGTATACTTTGTATAGATTTAAAAATGTATAGTTTTGGGATAGAAAACTTATGTGTGTTTAATAGGCTATTTTAAATTGACTTGAGTATTGACTGTAAGTAGGTGCTTTTCTTAAGTCATCATTACTGTATGGCATAACCTTTTAGCAAAAATATTTAGCCCAAAATAGCAGTATAACCAGTACTTGTGACCAACTTATAAAACTCTTTCTAAAGAGTGATTGTATTATTTATGGTGGCCTAAACTCAGAATGTACATAGGTGTTTGTGAAAAAGTCTTAATCACTTTATATATTTTATTTTATTTTATTTTTTAGATGGAGTCTCGCTCTGTTACCCAGGCTGGAGTGTGGTGGTGTGGTCTCGGCTCACTGCAACCTCCACCTCCTGGGTTCAAGTGATTCTTCTGCCTCAGCCTCCCAAACAGCTGAGACTACAGGTGTGCACCGCTACACCCAGCTAATCTTTTGTACTTTTTACTAGAGACGGGGTTTCACCGTGTTGGCCAGGCTGGTCTTGAACTCCTGACCTCAAGCAATCCACCCACCTCAGCCTCCCAAAGTACTGGGATTATAGGTGTGAACTACTGCACCCAGCCTCTATATATTTTTTAATTAGTGAAAAACAGATGACTACCTCAAAGAAAAATGGGGAAAGGGCATAAATAGAAAGCTGTCAATAGAAGAAAATTGCCAAGAAATATAAAGAAATGCTTTGTTTAATATTTAACATTTCTTAAGACTGTTAAGTCTTGAGAAATCGAAGTTCATATTAAAGCAACACGGAGAACACAGTTTGGCCTGTCAACATTAGGAAAGGTGAGAACTTTCCCAGCTTATCAAGCATAGAAAACGGGTGTTCTCATACACAAATCTGGCAGGGATATAAATTGGCATTAAAAAGAGTATATTGTTTGACCTAGAAATTATACTGGAAGCAATTTATCATAGAAATGTAAGTTTCATATAGAGAATAAGTCATAAGACTGTTGATTACAGCACTTTTTATAGCAGAAAATTGGAAATAAATAAGTTCAGCTGTATAGGACTGTTTTATTATTTATTCTAGTGATGAAATATTATAGTCATTT